GGGATGGGAACGGGAAGGATGGGAGAGGAGGGATGGGAACGGGAAGGATGGGAACGGGAAGGATGGGAACGGGAAGGATGGGAACGGGGAGGATGGGAAGGGGCAGGAACGGAACACGGGGGTGCTCCTGGGGGCTCCCCGCGCGGGGGGACAGGGACAGTGGGGCTGGGGACAGAGCAGGGGGTCCGGTCAGAGAGTGACTCTGTCGCTGCCATCATCTCCAGTGCTGCCCGAGCCCCCCACCGGCTGTGGGAGGTATCAGGAGAAAAAAAGGCTCCAGGGAGAGCTCAGAGCTCCTTCCAGTGCCTCTCGTGCTTCTGGCAATGTCCAAGGTCAGGCCAGACAGGGCTTGGAGCTACCTGGGACAGCGGGAGGTGTCCCTGCCCATGGCAGAGGCTGGGATGGGCTTTAAGGCCCCTTACAACACGAACCAGTGTGGGATTCAGATATTCCTTGGATTTCAATGTCTTTTCTGCCACAGGTACTCGAGGTACTCGAGGATTTGTTACTGGTTCAAACGTGCTTTCTCCCCTCCTGGCCCAGGATGTGATTCATCCCATCTTGCACAAGATGGAGCGAGGCTGATGAGCCCTGTCCGCCAGGGTGGGGCTGTTCAGTGCCTTATCTGTGCAATAAAGAGCACGAGACGCTGAGCCCTGCACCTTCCAACGATGGCTGCGCTTATCACCTTTGCTGTGCTGCCCCAGGTACCCTGCTCTGCACTTCTGCTTGCTGTGGATTGTGAGTTTACACTCAAGGAATCCAAACCCAGAAGAAATCACTGAAGGTTTCCAGTCTGACCTCCATACTACAAACTGCAGCACTTCTCCAGTGCATCCCTGCCCACCTGCAGCAGCTCCTGCAAGGCAAACCCCTCTGGTCTCACAAACACAGAAGGCCAGGAGGCTGCTTCCCGTTTTCAGGACACTGTTCCATGCTGGGTTATCTTGGCTGTCCCACTCTGGAGCCCCAGCTGCTGTCACTGGCTCCTAACTCACACCCGTCTGCCAGGTCAGGCCAACCTGAAGCCTCACGTGCTCCTTACCAGTGTAAGCTGTAATCTAATTACTGTAATGATCTATCTGTTAAATACAGCAGGCTAAGCTCTTTAGCTCAGGGTGTTGAATGTTGTTGAAAACCAAACCTTCATTTTCGATTCCCTGACTACCAGTTCTGAGTGAGGAGCAGCAGCTTGCTTGTGGGGTCTTGTTCTTTTCATTTTTAAATATAACTGAATCTAAAACCCATTCCAGACTCAAATTAAAGGCAGAGATTTTATAACACAAACAAAAATACACTCATGGCATTGCTGTGCTATAAATGTTCAGAGGCTGCACGTAGGCTGTTTGTGCTGCCCTGCCAGAGAGCACCACGCCAGCCACCCTCACACTGAGGCTCCATCCCACAGACAACCAGGAGCTGGACCTGATGGTCCTTTTGGGTCCCTTCCAGCTCAGGATTCCATGGTATCGCTGGATCTAACACAGCTTTTTATGCTCAGCAGCAGCACAGGGGAATTTAATCATTTAGTGCCACAATAGGTGGCTCTGGAACCTTCATGCATTTGGCGGGAAAAAATCTGCATTTATTCCTTGCTTAAGAAAGTAATGCTACCTCTGGCTTCCTTTCCTGATGATTTTTTTTCCGTTGGGTTCTGTACGAATGAACAAAGCTCTGGCACCTCATGCAGGCAGAACCTGGCCCGCCCATTTATCTCTCCTATAGCAGCCAAATGGCGTTTGCTGTCTCGAGCAGGAAATGAGCAATTAAAAGGCAACAAGAGGTTATTTTTTTATTTCCCTCTCTCCCCTCCAGAATAATAAACATCTCCAAGTGAATGTGTCGTGCGCGCCGATTGCTTGAACAATTTGGTGTGAGGCAAATTGTTCTTAAATAGGATGGCAATAAACGTGTCCATTACAATTTGAAAATTCCCATTAGTTTTTCAAAATAATTGGCTTTATATCTCTTGCAGAGCACAGGGTAAGCAAAAACCTTTTATACTAATCAATAAGAAGCAAAATAAATTAATTTTCCCAGACTGCTTCAACACGAAGGGACACAACAATGTAAATGTGTGCAGTGTGTGGTTCAGGCAGGCTAAAGCTAACAGCTGTTATTACAGTGTTCATCACATTCACTCCAGCCTGTTCAAAACTCCAGTCAAAAGCACTTAGGTGGAAAGACTGCACTTATTTGGCTTGGAAAGGGCAGTGGCACAATGGAGGCCATATGCAATAAAATCTCACAGGCAGCACCTCTGGAGGGGCAGGGGCTGATCTAGGAAACAAACTTCGAGAAGAAAAGCACAGCCCAAAGAACAGCTGTCCCACTTCGTGCTGTCCTGCCTGGCACATGGTTTGGGGCTGGGGGAGATCCCTGGCTCCAAGGGCTGCTGCTGCTGCTGCCTTCAGTGCCTGTGCCCGGCTGGGGTCCCGGCCCTGCACCCAGCAGCCCAGGCAGGGCCATCCCACAGGCAGCCCTGCCCTGGCCACAGCCCGAGGCAGGGAGAGAGAAGGGCCCAGGGCTTGTCCCAGCAGCAGCTCTGGTGTCTGTGTGAGCAGAGCAAGAGCCTCACCCCAGCTCCGGGAGCAGCTCTGCTGTCTGTGTGAGCAGAGTCCCCAGCTCCGGGAGCAGCTCTGCTGTCTGTGTGTGCAGAGCAAGGGCCTTGGCCCTGGTACCACTGCTGACATGTCCTCAGCCCAGCTCCGGGAGCAGCTCTGGGCACCGCAGGGCTGTGTGGGTGTCTGAGGAGCACACACCTGCCTGGGGCAAAGGCAGAGGAACAGGCCAGGTCTGAGGAAGGAATAACCCTTGTACACTGCCGGACGCGGCTCTGCTCTACCTTGCGAGCCCAACTTCATTGTGAGTCAACACTGCAGATGGAATAATGCACAAATTCACAGTGGAAAACCAGGTTTTACTGAAACAGCTTTCTCCCGTAATGGTATCAGATGGCAATCCCTGGGTTATCCCTGCTAACTCCACTCCCCAGGGAGTGTTCAGCAGAGCTGCCACCTGCCCAGAGCTCTGCTGGCAGCGAGGGCCCCGTGGGGCTCAGCACTCTGCCTGGGCGAGCAGGGGATGGCTGCTCGGGGGTCTGGCCCGATGGCCCCTGAGGGCCCGATGGCCCCTGAGGGCCCGATGGCCTGGCTGCTCCCTGCCCTTTGGGGGCCTGGGTGCTCTGAGGGCCCAGCCATTCTGAGGGCCCGGCTGCTCTGAGGGCCCGGCTGCTCTGAGGGCCCGACTGCTCTGAGGGCCCGGCTGCTCTGAGGGCATGGCCGCAGAGCTGTGCCCCACACACCCATCTCCCCATGGCCCTGGCTGGCTCTGGCCCAGCTGCAGCAGGAGGGCAGCAGCTCCTGGCCGTGCCTTGGGCTGTCCTCCTAAGCTAGCAAAGATGGACAGGGGAGAAATTCTTCCCTGGGAGGGAGTGAGGCCCTGACACAGGTTGCCCAGAGAAGCTGTGGCTGCCCCATCCCAGCTATTGGAAAGTATTAACATAAGCGCTAACAAAAAAGAGATTCATCATATCTAATAGACCATTGTTAAAAAATATATGAATAAAATTACATCTTTTCTCAGAGCAAGTTATTCAAATACAATACTGAAATGTCAGCTCAAGCATTAATTAATAGATATTCATGGGATCTAACCAATCAAGCTGCTTTCCAGCTGGGTTCCAGACAGCAGTTCTGTTGTTTCTGTTTCGGCTGCAGTCGCTGAAAATCTCCCCCTCTCTCATTTGTGTCCCCAAGCAAACCCATTCCCCTGCTCCTGGCGCAGCCGGAGCTGCAGCCGTGCCTAATGACAGGGAGGGAGGGCAGGAAAGCCTGTCAAACAGGATTATTCACAAAAAACCCAGCTAAGTGGATTTAAAATTGCAACCTGTCACTGCCTTCTGCAAATCATTTAGGAAGAGCTGGAAACTGGAATAACAATTTTATCAGGAACAGAAAACCTAAGAAAGAAAGAAAAAGAGGATTTGTGGGAGGAGGCAGCCAGCCTGGCTGTGGGCTGAACTGTGGGTGGTGGGCTCAGGTCACAGAATCCCTGGGAAATAAGGTGGGGAGGAATGATGCCTGTAATTCCCAGGGCAGAACAGCAAGAACTGTAGAGAATACAGAATTCTAGATGTATTTTTTAATATGGAATAGTTCTATTCTATTAAAGAGAGAAGTATGTATATCATGCATTACATATAAAAACACATAATCTATATTTATGTGTTTAAATATATATTCAATATTTGTGTATATAAATGCACAATACCACGGTTTATATTTTTATATACAAATAAATATATGTGACTTCCTTAAACTCAGTTATTCCTGCACCAGGAGAAATAGCGATGCTTCATTCCTTGCTGTCTCCTTCCTTTGCACCCCAAAGATCACTTGCAGGCAGGTACAAGAAAAAACTAATTGAAGAGAAACACAGTTTAATTCTCCAATGTTCAGCTCCCTCCACAGCCTCTTGCAGCCCAAGCTGTGCTGTGCTGGGCCAGCAGCAGAAGTCAGAGTGTGGGTGAGGAATTTTGCCCCATCCAAGGCTGTGGCTGGGTGAGTGCTGTCCCTCCGAGGTCTCAGACCCAGGCTGTGGATGGGTAAAATCCAGCAGAGTGGTTCTGTTAAATACCAAATCCCCCAAATGCTGCTGGAGCAGGAGCAGGAGCAGGAGCAGGAGCAGGAGCAGGAGCAGGAGCAGGAACAGGAGCAGGAGCAGGAGCAGGAGCAGGAGCAGGAGCAGGAGCAGGAGCAGGAGCAGGAGCAGGGCAGCTCTTTGTCCCTGCACCCCTGGAAAGGCTCTGCTTGTTTAGCGAGGAGAGCCAGCAGGGAGAGCCTGAGCTGGGAAGGGCACCAGGAGCACATACAGTGACCAACCCCAGCGCTTTGGGCAGGGTGTCTGTCACACAGAACCCACAGAACCCACAGAACCCACAGAACCCACAGGGATCGGGGCACTGACAGCCCTGAGCCAGTGACCAACCCCATGAGCAGCCCCTGAGCCACCCAGCCCCAGCTGCAGCACTTGGCTATTTGGAGTTTAACGAGAGCACAGGCAGGGGCTGGGACACCCTGGTTATCTCTGCAGATGTGCTGATAGCAGGGAGAGGCTGCAGACCTCTCTTGCTCAATTTGAAGATCTAAGAACAGCATAAACAGCTGAGGCTGCTGGTTCTCCATGGGACCTGGCCCCAGCCTGGGATCCTCTCTGGGCACTCTGGTGCTGAGATGTTTCACTCACACCGGGATGTCTGACCAGCTCCCTCGATTCTCTGAGAGAGCTCCAGGGGATCTGCCCCAAGGATGCATGAAACAGGAGGGGAAAGCAGGAAATAGCAATTAACCAGTACCAGGAGCCCTTGGGTCAGGTTTTACATCTTTCTGAGTGAGATTTCATGGATTTTATCCAAAACAATGGACAAGGACAGCTTGTTCTGTTACTATGTGTATTGCAATAGTTTTCTCCATGAGCTCAAACTGTCACCTTCTGGTGACAAACACCCAGAGCATTGTCACCAAGTTGCAAGACACTCAGCACAGAGAAAAAAAAGCAATTTATTGAAGTATTTAGCTATTTGAGTATTGACAATACTTTATAAAATAACAGCAAAAAGAAATTTTCTGCTGTTAGAAATTTCTATGAGTCAGTTTTAGACAGTATCAGGCAATTATTTCATCCTAATTTGCCACTTTTCATTGGTAATTGATATGCTAAGACTATACTCCACAATGGCCCTCCAGTATTAGACCCTAAGAACTCTGACATCATCAAAAGCAGAAAAGAAAACCCAGGAACAATAAGCACTGTCTCACTTTGATGGAATGTCAGAAAAAATTACTATGACAGTTTGGATCTGGCAGGACCACTCGGGCCTGGCTGTATCCCACAACTCCTCGTGTCAGGATCAGCTCTGGGGCAGGATCAGCTCCCAGGGCAGGATCAGCTCTGGGGCAGGATCAGCTCCCAGGGCAGGATCAGCTCTGGGGCAGGATCAGCTCCCAGGACAGGATCAGCTCTGGGGCAGGATCAGCTCCCAGAACAGGATCAGCTCTGGGGCAGGATCAGCTCTGGGGCAGGATCAGCTCCCAGGACAGGATCAGCTCCCAGGACAGGATCAGCTCTAGGGTAGGATCAGCTCTGGGGCAGGATCAGCTCCCAGGGCAGGATCAGCTCTGGGGCAGGATCAGCTCCCAGGACAGTATAAGTTCCCAGAACAGGATCAGCTCTGGGGCAGGATCAGCTCTGGGGCAGGATCAGCTCCCAGGGCAGGATCAGCTCTGGGGCTGGAGCAGGTCTTTGGTTTTACTGCTCAGCTCCAAGTGGTCATTTCCACTCCCTGATTGTACTGTGGGCACAGTGGACAGTGTCCCCTCTGTCCTCTGAAACGTTCCTTTGTCATTAATCGAATTCAGCTGGATGCCTCAGCTGCTCCCTTACATTCTCATCCGTGAACTATGAAGCAGCAGTGGTTATCTGCTGAATTAAGTAGTTCAACTAAAAGAATCCCATATATTGTTTCCAGTCAATGGGCACTATGAATAGATTTTATGTAAAATTACTGGGAATGCATAAGCCATTTTGCCTAATGTTATGGAATTTCTTCTCCCAAACCCTGTGTGAAATGTAATTCATGTTCAGATACTGACAACTGAATCATACTCAGCATTCATATATAGTGCTTTATATATGCAAACTGCCATAAAACATTAATTAAGCAATAGATTTCCTAATGCTAAGAAAGCGTACTCACACCAGGCTCGGTGAGTTAAATGTTTAAATACTGTCAACGCTTAAATACTATTTACAGAGTTTCATTGTGCTGTGAGCTCAGTTATTGGCAGGGCTGTAACAGTCAGTGGCTTCTCCATACGGTAAGTAGGAGTAGGAACGGTGGCTTGGTCTTTATCTACACCAAACTTTACTTTGAAACTGTACTTTTGCTACCAGTATGCTATTTTAAAAGTGAAGTAACTGTAGTAAGAACACAGGCTGTCTGTTTGCAGACTCCTGGTACAGCTACAATGCAGAGGCAACACTATCATTTATCGAGGTTTTTAATGTTCCAGGCAACTTTTGCTCCTTTTTCCCAATCCGTGTTGTCCAAAGCCACAGGACACGTCCATCAGGGTGCTGGGACATCCTCTCAAGCAGCTGAGTGCCCGTGGTGTCCCAACCCTGACAGCTCCCAGCTGGCTGCTGAGGTGGATGCAGGGCTTGGTGCTCTCCTGGGACGGCAGAAGGATGCTCGGTGAGGTTTAAGTCGTGGGGTTTTGTTGGGTTGCCACTGATTCATCCTGTTCATTGGTCAGGAAAAGGGTGAGATTTGGCTGCAGCTGCCCTGAGTCAGCACCACACCTTGTCAAATGTGGCAGCTCTGGCATGCTCTCGTGCTCTCCCATTGCCTGCACTGCCCGGAGTGGCAGGAGAGGCTTTGGGTGCCACCGAGGTGTGACTCACGCTGCAGGGTATTTGTAGCTGCCAGGTACTGGTACAGGTAGAGCAGATCCCACACACTGCCTGTGTCCCCGTGTGCCAAGCCTTCCCCAGCCAGCTGGAAGCTTGGCAGGAGCAGCAGACAGCCCTTCCCCAAAGGACAGGGACCCTCCCTGCTCAGCCCTGAGCCTTTTCACAGGAGACTCTGTCGTCAGGAAGAGTAACAGGAGCTTTAAAATCATTATTTAAGTAATGACAGTGCAGGCTGAGGTCGTGACAGAGAAGTGATACATTTCTTCCAGATCCCAGGAGTCATGAGATCCCAAATCTCTTCCAAACACTTCTGCAGGCTGTGCAGACCCCAAACGCTTCTTGCTTCAGGTGCCCTGCACTACAGAGCTGGGTGCTTTGATTTAAATAGTCAGCAATAAAAAGACTTAAACTGATTAGTCACTGCTGCCATGAGTGTCACAGAGTTTACTTTCTTGTTCCATGAATGTATTTGTTTATATTTGCAGAAGGATTCAATCTGATGTAAACTATGAAATATGTTGTTTACTGAACAAAGACAGGTTCCAAGGCACTTGTTAACACTGAAATCAAACCCGACTCTCAGATATCTATTTGCATTAGTCAGTCACCTCAGAGCCCACAAACCTGGCTGAACACTACAGCACTTCATCAAACAGTCTGGGAAAACACCTAGAAGATAAACAACCTGTTTAAAAAACTTCTGACATGTCAGTAGTTTGCCATGAAACTGGAAGACATACCAGAGCTTTGTCTATGGTTTGTATTAGTGCCTTGAAAACCAGAGTGGAAACCCAAAATTTGCTGATGCTATCAAGTTTTCTGTCAGCACCCTGGAGAACAGAATTAGAATTTTCAGTGATTTTGATAAACTGGTTTTTGACAGACATTTGTGCCTGGATGCCATCTGTGACGGTGCATGGAGTTTTCACTTTAGTTCACCATTACCCAGAAAGGATCTGCTGGCAGGGGAAGCAGTCTACAGGCTTTGCTGCTGGGGGAAAACCAGGCAAAAATCCTTCAAGAAGGAAAACTGAAACTCTGACCATCCTGACATTTTGTCTTGCTGACAGTGTTAAAATGTCACATCTGTCTCAGTGATACTGAGAGAGCCTCGAAGTTCATCTCTGCTTGAGCAGTCAAAAATAAAATGAACGGCAGCATTAGCAGGATTAATTGGAGCAGGTCCTAGGATCAGGGATCTTGTTGGCTGTTTTCAAGTGGAACAAATGAGTTCAACTCTGTCCTGGGAAATAATGCTTATTGTAATAAAATAACTTGTGTTTTCTTCCCCAGCCACTATGGAGCAGCTCCTGATTGCACACGGATCTGCTTCCAATCAGCCACGACTGCCAGGTCAGCTCCATCCACACGAGCTGCAGGTCCCTCCACCTTGTGAAGTGATGGACCACAAACAGAATCAATTCATGCTTGAAGTCATTTTTACCCTGTTTTTTCTGGAACATGACAAGACAGCACTTCTCCCATGACAGGACTGGTTTGGGTGTGTTTTGCTGGGAGCAGTTGGGTGCCACCAGTGGAGGTCACTACACTTAATGGAAATATTTATGACAAAATAAAGTATACAGGAATGGCAATGTATCTCCATTCAGGGAGAGCTAATATTTCATACTCACTGCTGCAGCTGTGGACTGTGGCACGCAGACAGGAACCCGAGCAGCGAGCTCCACGGTGTGAGGAGCCCGCAGGGACACGGCCCTCGGGGACCCACTGTGTCCTGACAGGCTGTGACAACAACCAGCCCTCACACAAATCCTCTGGGGGCTCGTGGTCACATCAGCATTCCTGGCTGCCCTGCCTGACAATATGGAACATGGCTCACAGAGCAAGTGGTGTCCACATCACTGAGCCTTATCTGCTCATTCTCAGAGCTCGGTAGTGCTGTCTGAGCCCGCTTATCTGCAGGGCCCGTGCTGCAAGACTCAGTTTGCTCCCATGCTCACCTTGATCTGGCCCAGCAGCTGAAGGCCTGGAAGAAGAAACAGTCTTTAGGCTGGTGACACAATCAGTGGCCAGTCACAATGATCCCTTCAGCCTTGAGCAGCCAGAAACAGCAGCAGCCCTTGTAAAACAATCTTTATTTAAACATAAAAACACAGAAAACATAGCTTTGTGTTAAAGGATTAGATGAGATTTGGAAGCTATTGAGACTGCAAACTACTGACATCAGACTGCGCCTAACATGGGCCTCAAAAATCCTTATCTCCTTCATTGATATGTTTACCCCCAAATGACTTTAAAATGCTCAAATACAATCAATATTTACACCTGGATGCTTTGGAGGACCCAAGGCAGCAGAGCTGGGTACAGCAGGGGCTGTTCTGTGCACTGTATAGAGCATAGCCCATGTCTCGGAGCTGAAACAATGCCACCCTTCCCAAAACCTGGTTTTGGTATCCTCAGCTGACTGAAGAGTGGGGAAATTTCCCAGACCTCACTACCTACCAATACCCCCAAGCCCGGGTGCACACCACTGACCCCAGACCAAAGGCAGATTGTTGCAGTGATTCCTCACGGGAGGAAAAGTCCAACACCTGCTGACCCACGTGCTGGTTCTCTGGGACCTCTGGAACACTCCCAGCTCATCCCCACAGATCCCAGCTGGAAGCACTCCTCCCACCCTGCCCTGACAGAAGACTCTGTCAGTAAAACTCTTTGCTCCTAGTCAGGAGACTGAGGAATTTAACAAATTCAAGGGTGAAAATTCCAAATGATAATTCTCTGCTGTATCTGAACACTCCCAGCAGCAGAGTTAAGGCTGCAATGTGACACAGTGCCACGGGGCAGTGAAGAAAAGGCATTTTTCTCCAGAAGGGCTTTTGCTGCAGACAGGAAGTTTGATTTTGAATTAGTCACCAGTTTCACTCCAGGCTGATTACACCGGTTTCATTACCACACAATAGCACTGTTTCCATGCAAGTGCTATCAAGATTACGTTTATGGTTCCAAAAGTTGTTTCACCACACCTACACACAACCTGAGTGCTGCACACAGGAACAGAGAAGGGCTCTCCTTGTTCTGTGCACTTACCCAAACCCCATAACCTTTCAGGTAAACTGCTCCTGGGGTAGATAGAAGGGAGTCAACAACAAATAATGAAAACAGAAATAGACCTGAACTTTGCCAATTATGCATATTTTGAATATAAACATCACGTCTAGGAGTGGGATAGAAGCACGCCATGGAACACGTTCTTTATAAAGAAACATAAAGTGGCATTATGACACCAATTCAAGGGAAACATCTGATAAGTTCTGGCAGCACAGGCTACTTTAGCAATAGTGATAAGATCTCTGGCAGGACTTTTGATGGAAATAATGAACTCTTTTTCTGTGTATGTGTGTCACTTTTTTCTTTTTCTCTTTTTTCTTTTTTTTTATACTTTATTTACACCCACCAGCAGCTGTGATTATTTCTTGAAAAAAACACAAGTTTGGTATTTTGCATTTGAGGATCTTTTGGCAGAGGAAAGTCCCCATGGGGCTGGACTTCCCCAGGCCAGGCCAGGAGCTGAGTCACCTGCAGCCCGTGACACCAGGGCCTCTGGGGCTGCCCCAGAACAGCCTCACCTGTATGAAACCTGCCCAGGAAATCACCCTGGCTGTCTCCTTTTACTCCCTGTGAGCACACCCTGATTCTGGAATGAGAATTGTTAATGCCACTGGATTAAGATAAACACACATTAGGCAGTCTTACTGCAGACATGCATTCACATATGGAATTATCGAGAATTACTCAAGGCACAGATAAGTTAAATATTGTATTTAAATGCTGTTGGATGCCAGGTTATTTTTGTCATCTTCTCCTTCCTCAACCCCTCCAAAGCAACCTAAATCACCCTGCTGCCAAGTCCAAAATAAAGACTTCTTTGTACACCACTGCACTAAAAACCAATTCAGACCCCAAAATCTTGCTTAATTTCATACATTCAAAATGAGTAAACATTGAAAAATTTCTCCATTTGTTCAATGCCAGAAAACATTTGGTGCAATTCTGCTCTTTGAACTCTGAATGATTATTTCATCTTAGATTCCCTTGGTAATTATTCTCCCTTTACCATTAGGTTTACTATTAATATTAATGTCACATACTGACAGCATGGGAGTGACAGAACAGCAACTCTTCCCCAAATGATTTTGAATCTTCTCAGTTTAACTGTTTTATATTGGGTTGTGAGCCAGCTAAGTCATTTAATCTTAAGTGAGTGGTGAGGTATATCTGTTATATCCAGGGAACATTGCCATCTTAGGAATGAAATGATGTGCAGTATCCTTAGCCCGTGACTTCCCTTGGGATTTTCTCAGCAGCAGTGCTGAGAAATTAAAATACATCATTTAGTGTGATTTGTAGTTTTAAAATTCAATTACCACCCTGCCTAGCTAGTACCTGGCAGAGCACTATGGTCTCAGAAGTCTCTTTCACAGTCCCAAGAACTTCCCAGGTATTAATAAACCTTATTTCAACACATGTGGTCACCAACAGGGGCAGAGAAACTGACTGAAGGTAAGAAGCTCTTTCTGCCCAAGAGCTGCAGCTTCAGATTTCAGACAGGCACATCCTCACCCCTTACTCTGAGCACGTTCTCAGGGTCCTTTTTACCCAGGGCCCTGCATTTCCCAGACTGCAGCTCAGTTTCACTTCCAGAGCTCGGGCCTTCCGAGGTCCAGCAGCAAACACTGTGCAGAAACACAAATACCTCAAAACTCAGCCCGCTCCTCACAGCATTCTCTGTTCCTCAGGTGGAGCACAGGTTTTCTGTAAAATCTCTTCCAAACTAAGCTCAGTGGGACTCGCTCAGGTCTCAGGAGGTGACACATCCCTTGCTGCCACTGTGCATCTTTAAAGAAGAGCTGCTTAGAAGGTCCCTGCAGGAACACCAGCACGTTTTCACTTTTTATACCATTAAATCTTCTTGTCATCAGGCACTGACAAACTTTCTGGGTACTCAAACTTTACATATTGCATCTGTTACTGATCTAAACTACCCTTGTTTGATCTCTGCCTGCAAAGTACAATACATTAAAAAGCCCACCCAAGGCCACTGCTTTACTTGCACAAAATATCTCTAACAGCAGCAGCTCACGACTCGCTCTAACTATGCACAGAAATAACTTCAGCCTGTATGAGCAGTTTTACTGAACAAGCAGGGTTACTCAGCACAGTCAAAGCTGGTTATACATGTAAATATTGTATGGTGAGCTGCTTAGTAACCAAATTTATGCTTTTCAGCTGATTTTTATTTTGGCATTTTTAAGATAGCATCAAATCATCCTAAAATTGTTTTTAAAATATGCTTGATCATTTTGAAAATCAAATTAATACAGCCAACTCTGATGATTATATTTTGCCTAGACCCTGCTGCATTGTCATGCCTTCATGTTGCCCAACCAGAGCTTGTTTCAGGAAAACATTAATTTTTTTCCCTGAGAAGCTAAACCACTACCATTCATGAAGCACAAGCACCCAATGCAATGCGCGCTTCATAATTCAAATATTATGTGCTGCATCATCTCGTGATTTATTTAACTTCTTCTGTGTCTGAACCCTCAGCCAGGGATTTTCAAACTTTCCAACCCACAGATCCCTCAGTGGTCAGTAGCCATGCACCAGAATTCATTTCTAAGAAAACCAGACTTGATTCTTTCAGTTACTTCCCACAGACTCCTTGCACTGCAGACTGACTAATTACCTAGAGCTGGCTGGTAATGAGAGATTCAATTAATACATGTAGTAGGGCACTGGCACTTGAGAAATCATATTCCATATTTAAACTAACAGCATAAAGATCATTCGTTACTTTGAACGCAATACATTTCCTTCTTCAGAAATAGCAGCAATTAATAGCATAGTGTAGAATTAAAAATGGAGAGTAATTTTATTCTGTCACTGAAAAAAACAGCACACACCACAATCCAGCAGTGAATTGGGATTAAATAGACAGGATTTAAACCAGCATTACAGTCTGGTCTTTATAAAATTGGCTACTAGCATGTTGGGGAGAAAGTGTAACGTGAATAATTTAGCTGTGGGTTTGCTACAGAAGTGATGAAGGTGAGCAAGCCCACATCATACCCAAAACCTGAGCACAGAACAAGAAAATAAAATATTTCTGCATTTACACTCTGGCCTTTCAGCAATTCTTACAGCTGGTTTTGAAGAGAACTTTGCCAGCCCTTGCCAGCAGGTTTAGGCTGGCTCACACCAAGCTGGGTGATGTGGTAGCTCTGCTCCCAGAGTACTGCCAGGAGGGGGAAAATTAGATGGACAGCAACAGGAATGAGAACAAGTGGAGAAATGGCTTGAAAGCTCACAAAGGAGCTCAGTTACTCATTTTCCAAAGGATGGGCTAAGCAGCCGTGGACAGACAACTCACAGAACAATGGGTGTGAGTGCTCAGGGCTTGCTCAGTGTTTCTGGAACAGCTCTGGGAAACCACGGCCCACGAGCCTGGCACAAGGAAAGGCTTACATGGGCAGCAGGCAGAGCCCAGAACAGACAGGGGACCAAAGCCCAGCCCTGGGGCTGCCACAGGAGATAAAATACCTGCTGCATCCCAGGCTGACCTGCACAGCACCTGCAGCAGCTCAGGAGCAGCCTGCAGCCCACGGGTTTTGTAGGTGCTTGAGAAAAATGTGCAGCTGGGAGAAATCAGGTGGGGGCCTGACAGACCAGAATCCTTCCTGGGGACACTCAGCTGCCAGGAACGGGACAAGGCTGCAGCCACACAGCACACACGGGCACACGGCAGGTCTCACACAGAGAGCACACGGCTCTGTCCCACACGTGTGACATTTCACACCGTTCCTCCAGCCACTGCCCGCCCCACAGCACGGCTGCTGGAACACGTTTGTGCTCCTCAGGAGAGGTTTTATTTGCAAAGACTTACATGGCAGCAGCAGAGGGGTTCAGTTTGAGCTCCAGGGGATCACCATGGGCACAGTACTCACCAGAGGATCAGTGAGCACGGGGATGAAGGCTCCCCCCAGTATTTGAATGCTGCAAAAATAATTTCAGTAGAATTTAGCCTCTGTTAAAATTGTTCAGGAATAAGAGAACATTATTTACAAAACTTATGTCAAATCCTTTAGACTTTGCCTGCCCCAGCTGCTGTGTTTAGATTAGGCTTGGAAACAAGGTGTGGTAGAAAGGATCTAAATGTCACTATTATGTGAATAAATACTGAGAATTGTAAAGAACTGAGTAAGATGCAACAGCAAAGACTGGAGGGTGCCAAAACAACTAATGACACTTTCTTGAAAGGAATGTCTCACAGAAAGTCCAAGGGACGACTTCTACAAACAGTGGCCCGTAGCCAGTCCCTGTGACTCAGCCCTGCCAGGCCACGGGCCACCAAGTGCCAGCAGCGGCAACATCTGCCAGCGGCCACATCTCCCGCCGGAGCCATCGGTCGGTGCCGCTCCGCAGCACGGGAAGCCGGGAGCGGGGGCAG